GCAAAAAATGTATGCATCACGCCAAGTTGTATATGTTACGGGAACATAACAAACCGTCTCAAAAGGGCAATACCAATATAGGATATAGAGTCAGAACGAAATTTCGTACTGACAGTTACAACAGAGACGCATCGTTTTTTCGGATCCAAGCTATCGTCTGAAATAACCATCATTTCTCAAGGGCCAAGACTTTGATTTGGGACACATTAAGCTACTCGAATTTGAATTTACAGAACCATATTGTCAATAATTGCTATGTAGTTAATCACAATAAAGCACGCACCGCTTTCTCAAATCATTTATTGTTCAAAGTTCATGTCATATTCTCTCACGATAATCAAGGAGTATCTCGCTGAAACAGCTGGCTTGTATTTTAATACTGAGACGCCATTTGCTGACAAGCTTTCAGATTCTCCAGGTACCACTGACAGAGGTTGATATCATGATTGTTTTGCTGTAAACATTTGGTGAGAGCTTTGGCGTCTGTTTCGCACGCGGTCTGATTACGCATATCGTCGTTATTGTCAAATGAATGGTATCGTTCCTAATCAGAGGAGATCAAGCACAATGTATATAAACAATACGGAAACAAAAATTATCCGCATACTACAAAAACGTTGATATACCTGTTGTTGTGGCTGAGGCGTATATTGACCTTGGGTCTGTTCGGGCGCTGGAGCTGACTCGCCTCTTCCACCAAAGAGACCACTAATACCAGCACCCTATTTATAATTCTATGAGAACGACTTGTATAGAAAAAAAAAAGTTTCAAAAAAAAAACCAACAAATCTTACAAGAGTATGTCCAATCGTAGATCCAACAGCTACACCAGCAGCAGTTGATGCCATCTGCGAAAAAAAAAGAGCTCGTTAAATCAACATATGATAATCAATCACGTACACTTGAATCCACAACTCTCACCATATTCGCTACACTTGGTCATCCTCCCACTTACCTGTCCAAACAATCCAGGTTGCTTTTGTTCCCCCACTATGGATGGCTTTTGTTGAGTATTAGCTAGAACTTGTGGTCGTTGATCATGTGTTGGTACAGGACGTGGCGGTTGAGGCGACGCTTGTGGTTGTCGCGTGGGAGGAGGAGAACTTAGAGTGGAGGCCTGACGACGCGGTTGTGTCCTTGCAGGCGCCGAGCGAGTTTGACGACGTGGCATTTTGTGACTAATTAGAATGTGGCAGACGGGAAAGTAGAAGGAGATGGATTTGTGCAGATCTAAGAAATCATTCCGAGTCACGTGGGAAATTTTTTTAAATATCAAACAAATCACATGACTTGATTACAGTTAATCATCATTGCTGAAAGACAATGACGGAAAAACCGAACGAATATTTAGAGATTAGTTCAAAGAATGAGATGCTTGGTGAGTTATTATAGCTGCTGCACTTAACGGTTCCGAAACATCTACTTTAAGATATCGTACACGTTGTTTGCTGATATTCACTTCAAGTCGAGTTAGTCGCCGGAAAGCAAGCCTGTATAAATAACGATGGTTCAAGTCGGAAGAAAAAGCCACCAAAGACATACAGAATTGAACCAGCTACAGACCGCATGTATCTACTTGTATGCTTTTAGTATGCCAGTAAGGAGTTTTTATGCTCAAGTTCGCTTTTCAATGATTAGTAATATCACGGATTCAAGAATTCATACCTAAAATCGCAGCAGCCAACGAACAGCTGTCATCAGTCGATCCGGATGATCTCGACATAATGAAGATTGAAGAAGATGCCGAGCAAGTTATTGAATATGTACAGAGAATGATTTCGTGACGCAGGATGCATTGTTAAAAGTATCAATACACATTTTATTCATCCTGTGTGCTTGTTTCATAGGATCTCCTAATATGTCATCCCGAAAACGACTCGTCCAACGAAGAGTTTCCCAAATATAAACATGATACTAACACTATAGATGACGATGAAGACATAATAATGACCACTGAACCAATAAGTTCCAAATTACGTTCTAGACCAAACATAACTATGCTAGATGACACAGAGGATTTGAGTGTGAGAATTGATTCAGAATGCAACAATTTGCAAAAATAAAATACAAATACAATTATATTGGTGGAAACTTAAATTGAGTGATACAAATCACCCCCGGTTACTCAGTATCAGGAATTCTATCCTTGGTCAAATGATAGATAGTCAACTCGGACGAATTAATGGTTAAATGGAGCAACATCTACTAAATTGCTCCACATTATAATTACCCTTTACGATAGCCCATAAATTTTCGATAAGGTTTAAGCTGGAGTGATCAGTCTATGCATTCCATGAAGGAAGGCCTAACAAAACACGGATCGTTGTTTTGCTGAGGCCTCCATTCATGTTAGATGTGAATTTTCGATCGATGGCAATGAGCAATGTTATCGGTATCGCCATAAAACATATGCGAATAAAGTGCTAATGAAATTGTGTCGATAACACAAATTACACTGTGATGACAGGGTTCAACAATTGTGTCTTTAATAAATTCTATCATTGAAGATGTGTTACAATGTGTTGAGTTTATAACATTAATAATAGATAAGCCATGTCTATCATTTAATAATAACATAATGTTTATAGTAAATTAATACTACGGTCAGTAGTAAAACTGATTAGATTTATCATTTATCATTATTAGGCAAACTCATTCATTAGCGAATATAAGACATTCCTTAAAAAGACGCGCCAAATTCATCGTCCTTTATAATTAATACGCTCTTCGATTTAAGACTATTACAAATTGTTGTTCTTAGTAAAGTTTATTCTTTTTTGCAACTGTTGCTGAAGGAAGTGTTTATTGCTTAGCAGGCTGAAATAAGCCTGCTTATTGAAGATCTAGCTGCAAATTGAAAGAATAATTTAATAATTTTTGTTACAGACCTACCCCATTTATATACCCTTCCCTATTGTTATCTCCTATGCTTGTATTACCCCTGCTACTGCAACTCCCTTCCATAGCATTTCAATTGGGCTTTTAATCAAATTTCGCTATTCATGGTTTATACAATCTATAGACACTGATCATGTCGTCTATGCGTCTGTTTGAATGGTCGTAAGTTGGGATTTATTTTAAATGTATATATACCTGGACAAATAATCGCCACCAAGATGTTGGTTGAAAGTTTTGATTCGGTTAATTTTCTGCTCAAAACAAAATACTAAATATTTTTTATTACAGTTGCCTCACTGTTTCTTGAGATCAAAGACAATATTAGCTGATTCAAACTCTCCCACTTTATCCTCGATATCCAAACCAATGGCTTCAGTTACCCATAAAAAAATCCCAAATTTTTTCATTTTAACTGCTGATAGTGCAGGAGGGAGGTTTATCAACTTTTATCACATGCATGTAGCAATTATGTAGTTAGACGGCGGATTAATAATTGACAATAGGAGAAATGGTAAAGAAAAATAATGTTTCAGAGAAACTCAATGAGGCAGAAATTGAAGAAGTGGTCAACAGAAACCCTTATATATCAGCATAAGAACCGGAAATAGTATAAGAATGGCTATCAAAGGAATAAACGCTAACCAAATGTCTTCAATCAGTACAGAAAAAATGGCGCAAAAAATGTTCTGCCATCTGGGCACCATGTAGTTGTAAGCTTGTTACGACAAAGTATGTGCATCAGCTTCCTCATCTCTTTACGGTTAGATTTGTAACACTTCTTTGTTTTCTAAGCCGAATAGTAGGCAGGAAGAGTTATAATAACGTGCTGTAATTTTCAAAAGTTGTTGAAAAAGTAATCTTAAAGAAAGTTATTGCAAATTCTTTGAGGATAAAAAAGACGGTTGAAACTTGTATAATAAACTTAAAAACAACTATTAGAAGAATTTTGTGAAACACAATAATGCGATCAAAACTTTCAACCACCTTACGTATCTGACATTGTAATCCGCGGATAATTTATGCTTAAACTATTTGATAACGCTTAGACGACATATTGTCGCGTAATTGTAGTGTTTTGAATGTAATTCTTTTGAGATTTACGTTTCGAGCCAACAAACGCGGGACACAATGTTTCCCAGTAGTACTGTAGTAGTAGTACATATAGTATATTTCCACATTCTCCATGCAATCCTCAACGGTTGTACAAAAACTCTTGTCTTAAATTAACCTTTGAAACAGTCTTACGCTCATGTCAAGAGAACATTTATTTGTGACAACATCATTTACCGATTATTGCACGATTACTATTACAGAGTTCTTGTTATAGATTTGCCCCATTGCGATTTCAGGTCACATAATAATAGAAACACTAGATTGAAGAAAGCGAAACAGACCAACCTTGATCTTTCTCGATTCGCCGCCAAGGAACACAATCAAAAAGTACAAAAAATTTCAGAAATATTATTAGCCCTGTTCATTTCTGCTTCCGTTCCAATTTGTGTCGGCTCCTGATTGGCTGATTAAAAATTACATGATCAAAACGGATGGGAACCAACGTCCGTTTGTTCCATCCCAACCACATACGGTTTTATTAAAAAGTGTGAAGAAATAAAAAGTTGTGTTGCGAGGAAGTGTTCTAATGGCTTTCGGAAATGTGTTGTTTTTTGCAAGAATAACACTTGAAGTCTTGGAGTGAAAAGAAAAACAACGGGAATAATAGCCTGTTCCAATTTGTGTCGCCGGCAGATTAAAATCACATGATCGAAACGGATGGGGTTTGTTCCCAACCACATATTAAAAAGTGTGAAGAATAAAAGGCTGTGTCGCGAGAAAGGATTTCGGAAACATGTTGTTTTTTGCAAGAATAACACTTGAAGTCTTGGAATGAAAAGGAAAACAACGGCGGAACACGAAATTTGTGATTGGCTGATACAATTTGGGGCTTATGTATCCGATTAGGCGAAAGTCAAACATGTGTGATCTGAATTTTTGAAGAAATAATAATACCATCTAAGCCTTGACTCGATACGCAATTTGGACAAAATCATCTTTTAAGGATAAGCATGATCGATTTATGATCATTACCTTTTGGGGGATGGCTAAAGCGGGTGTAAATATATGAAATCATCAAATTAATAACAATTTATAAGTAAAATTTTATGCTGAACATTTTTACTTAGAAGCCAAAGGCTAGTTATTATTATCACTGTATTATAGTAAAATTTTGGGTTATTTATGAATTTTCTCTTTTTTTTTTTTTGAACTCATATGTTACATGTGATTTTGTAATTACAGTAGATTGGTTAACCGCCAATCTTGAAATTTAATTGGACTGATTTTTTGTGTTGCCCCCGCTTTAGACGACCCCCTTTTTGTTCTTCACCATTCTAGCCAAGGTAATACAGTCAGGGATATAAACATGTCGATCACCCCATAACACACTTCTTTTTTTTGCCCGTAATGGTAAATCAGAATATTTTCTCACAGAGCTGTTCGGGAAGAATTTCTATCTTCAACAAAAGTTCCGCTTTGGTCATATTTTCTTCACCTTCTTTCATATGGGTGATATCTGTCATTGTAGACGATATAAGGGAATCGATAAAATTAGTAGTAGATAATTTTTCTTCAGACAATAAATTAAGAATCTGGGAAAGGTAAATATATAATTCTTCATTGCATTTGAGGGCTGAGACCAAAAAGTTCTTCGTATCGTAGCCTATTAAGAGAATTAACCCAGGGTGAACCAGTATGCTGTTTTGCGATGTCATATTGAAAGTAACAAAACTAGTAACAATATGGTAAATCACGATATTAAATCCACTATCGCGACAGTTCTTTTGTCAAGAAATAGAAGTCCTTCGGGCAACGGTTCTTCATATACTGATAGTTCTTCCAGCCAGGTCTGAAATCGATTGTAGCTTCCCGTACTCGTAATATGATTATCGATATTGATAATCTTCTTTGATCGTGCAATTGAATATTTAATAACTGAGGCAGCAAGATGCACTTCGGAAACATACTCTCCATGTCGTGTGTGCCATATATTGAATCAGCGGTTTTGAAAAGCTTCTCATGGCTCATGGTGGTATCGACGTCACAATAATCTTCTGGTTTGTTCAAGCTCTATCGCTGGATCAGAATGACTAATGCAAATATCATCATCCAAATCGAGTCGAAATCTTTCATTTTCTTGACTAAATCCTATAGGATGCTGACTAAAATTTATTAGTAGTCGATAATTTGGTTATAATGCTCTCACAAATAGCATAAGAGCCTAGCGAGGTATGAATAACGACAAGTTCAGGAAAGTAGTTATGATATTGCCTGAGTATTTGCATGCCGCCAAACTTGTAATTCCTTTCTCACAGGGTCTTAACCCAGTTTCGCTATTTTTTCTGTAAAACCCCAAAGACACACGGAAATTCTCTCGCTTGTGGCTTCTGATAGACTGACACTGTCAAAAAGGTTATCTGAAATACAACGTAATTAGCAAGCTTGTTTCGTCTCAGTCAACCAAACACGACACTGATTCGTAGTTTTCACTTCTCATTTACTTTCTCAAACACGAGTTGATTATTTTTGATTAATAGAAAATATGAAAGTAGACGTCTTTTTAGTCGCAAGACAATAACGTAAAAATAAAAAAAAAAAAAAAAAAAAAAAAAAAAAAAAAAAAAAAAAAAAAAAAAAAAAAGAGGAGGGGGGGTGTGCAAAAAAGATTTCAAGGATTATTTTGGTTTTGTTTTTTTTGTTTTTTTTTTTTTTT